CCAACCCAAACTCAACAACACAACCCAACCGACCCCGCCCCATTGGCCCCCCCCCCCGCCCCATTGAGCAAAAAACCCAACTAAAATGGGCAAATTTATGTTACGATAAAAATAAAACACTTTTTAACAAAGGAACAACAAATTTATGAAATAAAAAAGTAAAAAAAATTCGACAACTTCTGAGTATCGAACCCGGGACCTCTCGCATGCAAAGCAAACGCCCTACCATCTAAGCTATCTAGCTTGACAACAAATTCTGTATGTTCGGGGAACAAAACCGGATTATTATTATGACGTCACGTTATAAGGCGGTTCGTGCCAGCTCGTGAGAAGTCGGGATCGATGTTGGGTCACCGACTAGAAGTTTCTAATAAACTGTATCTTTAGTTCTAAAAACAGAAGACAAAAATTCGCTTGAACGACTGTATATTTGGCAACGTAAACAAATTCGTTAGCAAAACCGGCAACACTGTTACCACAACAGCTGTCAATCGTATCCCGGCAAAATCGCGCGCCTTTATCTTATTAAGGTTAAGTTTGATATTTTAGTATTTCATGGTATTTACGCGAAAAAACGACTATTGAGTGGTGCGCAGTTTATATGAAACCGCTAGTCACTGAATTCGCAAGCGCGAGATGTCTCGGTAAAGCAGCGGGACTCGGGACGTTGGGTAAGGAAAAAATATCTGCTTCCGGGATGCAGATATTTTTTCCTTAACCAACGTCCCGAGTCCGCCCGCTTGCCGAGTCCCGCTGCTTTACCGAGTCATCTCGCGCTTGCGAACTCAGTGACTAACGTCTAGGTACAGAACAATTGCGAAGCTTCGAAACCAACCCAAACCCAACAACCCAACCCAACCGACCCCGCCCCATTGGCCCCCCCGCCCCATTGAGTACAAATTTTTCAACGAAGGAATATTCATTTAATTACATTTTATATTATATAACTGTTGCAAAATTATTATGAGGAAAGGTAAATAAATTAAAATATTACCTAATGTAAAATTAAATATAAATGCTTTTAAGGCCACATTGTATTATTTCGGTATATAATTTCTTTAAAAAAAAATTAAAAAAAAGTTGTAGAGGCACCAAGAATCGAACCCCGTATCTCTCGCATGCAAAGCAGGCGCAAAATCAAAAAATCAAAAAAAAATCAAAATCAATATATTTTTAAATTAAAATAATTACAAGTCATAAAAAGGTATATAATAAAAGGCCGCAATGTGGTGATGTGGTTGGCTGTAAAGAGGCGCGTGGAAGTGTGGTTCCAACTCTTGAGCCTCCCTGCGGTGAAGATGCGTGGTACGGGTGGTAGCAGCGCAGTCTTCCGACGGTCTTTGTCCCTTGTATTAGCCCTTTTTATTAGCATGGAGCTTGTCTGGCCTTTTCTCGCAGAGCGAATGTGAGGCCAGCTTGATCCGGGTAGAAGAATAAAGTCTAGAAAAATTTACGGAAAAAAGAATGGTGATGTTAAAAAGTTAAAAGAATGATTTCGAGGGAAAAATAATTGAAAAACCCTCTTAAAAAATTTGGAAAAATACATAAAAGATAGAAAAGAATTTAGAAAAAGACCTGCAGCACCATGGTACTACGGTTGGATTTGAAGGGGATGTTAAAGTCTGGTTGGAGATGTCTCAAGGTCAAGAACCCTAAAGTCCTAAATCAACAGACATCTCCCACGTCGCGTATTGTTCTGAGGGTTAAGCTACCGCGGTGTCAGTGATGCACCGGGGGGTCGCGAAATATCGGCAATCTGCCATAGATCAGGCCATGTTTATAGCGCGCATTGTGGTGTTGTCTGAGCGTAGTTATATGGCGTGTTAACGGGTGTCGGTGTAGTTTCTTAGTGTAGAATTTATTTGCCTGATCCATGACATACTCTTTTAAAGCAGGCGCCCTTCCATCGAGCTACCGAGCTTATTGTAAAAGTCCTATCGCTCGAAAAAATAATATAGATTTACAGTGTGACAGCGCGCTGCAGCGGGACTCGGCAAGCGGGCGGACTCGGGACGTTGGTTAAGGATAAAATATCTGCTTCCGGGATAGAGACGGGAACAACGCCTGACGACTTTTTAACCTAACCCATGATACAAGAAAAGTCTAAGCCCGCGAAAGCTTTAGTATTATAAATGGGTTGCATGCAATTGCAATTAATGGCGGGCTTTTGTAATGTTTTAAAAATATAATATTAATAATAATATTTACTATTATTAAAATTATATTTTTAATAAATATTATATTATTTAAAAATTTAACCCTTTGCTGGTCCAATTATTATTATATTTTTAATAAATATTATATTTTTAATAATTATTAGATTAGAAATAGAATAATTTTATAGAAATTTGGATGAGAATAATATTGAAATTTAAAATAATTTAAGGCAGGAATTAACTAAGATGGCGGTAACTGGGTGGTGCGCAAAGTGAACCAAAATTCGTCCTACTGAAGAACATACCTTGTTTTCTTGTACCGGTCATGGCCATGACCTAACCCACAATTGTGACCTAACCTACTTATGTTCTGTGCTAACCTATCTATCCTATATGGGGAAGCGGGTGACTATACCAATATACCTATATTGAGTACCTGACCAAAGATAATACACCCAAGGGGTATTATCTTTGTACCTGACCACTCAATACGATATAGGTACAGGGTGATCCCCTATAATAACATAACCACATTTTTAAATTTTTTTGGAACACTTAAAATTAAAAGTCAAAAGTTGGCGACATTATAGGGGATCACCATGTACCTATTTCAGAATTTGAATAATTTATTTTTATATGACTTTCTTTTGTTTTTTCAAATAAATTTTGGTACCATATATGGTTGTGTTTGTTTATATTTCAAAGGCGATTTTTTGGCACATACTCTGTGGTATATCGATATTATATAATCATAAATAGGTATTACTGTTGAACATATACCTATACCATATACCTATAACTTATAGTTATAGTTATTATAGGTATATATAGGTATATGCTGTTGACAGTGTATTTAATTAAAATAATTATAAATAATTATAAGTTCTTCAGCAGAAGTACCATTTTGTTTGAATCCTATTTGGTGGACAGAAAACAATTTGTTGCATACAACAATTATAACTCCAAACAGTTTATATCCAGCTCTGGTTTTCCACAGGGATCTAACCTGGGACCCTTGCTGTTAACAGAAATTTCTCATTTTTATCAATGATTTACCTTCAAAATTAAACTGTATGAAGTTGTTATATGCTGATGACCTCAAGATATTCTCCCGAATCAATAGTGAGGCTGACTGTACCCAACTTCAGAATGACCTAAATGTCTTAGGCCAATGGTGTAAAGTGAATAGATTGACTTTGAATATTTCAAAATGTAAAATAAGTATACTTATCTATAGATACACCAAAAAGGTCAATCCAGTGATTTTTAATTATAAATTATATGGCGTCGATCTGGAGTCAGTCAGTCTTATGAAAGATTTGGGAGTTTATTTTGAACATATAAATTCTACCACTAAATCGGCATATAAAACATTAGGCTTTATAATAAGAAACAGCAAGAGTTTTACTAACCCTGAGAGTCTTAAATTGTTGTTTTTTACTTTGGTGCGTAGCAAGTTGGAGTATGCCTCAGTTATATGGTCGCCAATTTACTTGTGTCACACTCAATCCATTGAGGCAGTACCTACAGCGAAAATTTTTGAAATTTTTATGTTTTAAAACGTCAGGATTCTACCCACCTCAGGGTTTTGATAATTCTGTTTTGCTTGACAATTTTAATTTTGAATCTTTGGGAACAAGAAGAGATAAAATCTGCACTACATTTTTGTTTAAGCTTATTCATAATTTTGTAGACTGTGCTGACTTATTGGGACAATTAAACTTTTTTGTACCGAGACCTAATAGTAGGCAAGCGTCTGTATTTCAATGTCCAAAGGCACGTACTAACATTTTATTGATATCACCCATATATAATATGTCTCGAACTTTTAACAAAGTGGCAAATCTATGTGATATAAATTATTTTAGTCTTAGGGATATATTAAAATGTTTTTAATTATATATATACTCACCTCTTGTTTGTTCATACTCAATACTGTTTTGTTTATTTATTTACTTAGTTATTTATTAATCTTTACTTATGTATTTTTTCTTTTTTTTTTGTATTCACATCTATACCATTATTGTAAATTCTTTATATTATTGAATTATTAGAATGTCCTGTATTGTGAAAACTGTTGGGCAATAAATACCTTTATTATTATTATTATTTTTTTTTTTAATACTAAAAATTCTAAATCCAACGGGTATAAGCTACCAACTTAATAAAGAAAACACGAGTCCAAATAAACTGACTAACTTCTAGCCGGTGCCCCAACATCGATCCCGACTGGACAAAGAATTTATTATATATTATACAATGCATCATTATCATTTAAAATTGACGGCACAACAATAATATAATAATAAATTGTACCTGTATACATGTTAAGGGCACGTTAGTTACGTAATAAAACCAAACCAACCCAAACTCAACAACACAACCCAACCGACCCCGCCCCATTGGCCCCCCCCCCGCCCCATTGAGCAAAAAACCCAACTAAAATGGGCAAATTTATGTTACGATAAAAATAAAACACTTTTTAACAAAGGAACAACAAATTTATGAAATAAAAAAGTAAAAAAAATTCGACAACTTCTGAGTATCGAACCCGGGACCTCTCGCATGCAAAGCAAACGCCCTACCATCTAAGCTATCTAGCTTGACAACAAATTCTGTATGTTCGGGGAACAAAACCGGATTATTATTATGACGTCACGTTATAAGGCGGTTCGTGCCAGCTCGTGAGAAGTCGGGATCGATGTTGGGTCACCGACTAGAAGTTTCTAATAAACTGTATCTTTAGTTCTAAAAACAGAAGACAAAAATTCGCTTGAACGACTGTATATTTGGCAACGTAAACAAATTCGTTAGCAAAACCGGCAACACTGTTACCACAACAGCTGTCAATCGTATCCCGGCAAAATCGCGCGCCTTTATCTTATTCTGTTTTCGGCTACGGTTGAAGAAGTTTGTGTATTACAGTACTCTTAAAAAATAACTGAAAATGTCTGGACGTGGAAAAGGTGGCAAAGTAAAGGGAAAGTCCAAGACCCGTTCAAACCGTGCCGGGCTCCAATTTCCCGTGGGAAGAATCCACCGTTTGTTAAGAAAAGGAAATTATGCCGAACGCGTCGGTGCTGGTGCCCCTGTTTATATGGCGGCCGTTATCGAATATTTGGCTGCCGAAGTGTTGGAATTGGCAGGCAACGCTGCCAGAGACAACAAGAAGAGCAGAATTATCCCGAGACATCTTCAGCTGGCCATCAGAAATGACGAGGAGTTAAACAAAGTTCTATCTGGAGTAACTATTTCCCAAGGAGGTGTCCTGCCTAACATTCAGGCAGTTTTGTTGCCAAAGAAGACTGGAAACTCTTCAAACAGTAGTGCCCCCAAAACCACCAAAACCCAGTCCCAGGATTATTAGATATAAGATTTTTTGCAATCCTAGCTTAGGTTTAAACTGTAAAATGTCTTGATTGTACATGTTTCTGTTGTGTGGATGTATTTTTTAATAAAAAACCATTTCATTTTAAATTTGTTTTTATTTTACTTTATATACAATAAAACTGAAAAAATGTAGGTACATATTATAATACCTATAATAGGTATACATATTTTATTTATATTTAAACTGCAAAAGACAATCGGATTTTGTAGTAAACACCTTAATGGTATCCTTATAAGTTTTCAAAGCATTGACATATTCTTCTGATAAAGTTTTTGCATTTTTATATGTTAGGGATTTAAAATTTCCATTAACATTTAAATTTAAACTTTTAATTGTATTTATAAAACATCCAAATAAGTTCTTTTTACAAATCCTAACACATGCTATTTCTTTATTTATATCTTTTTTTGTTATGCCTTGTTTTTTGCCTTCAACTGAAACCTCCAAGCTAAAATATATAAATTATTTTAATAAAGTTGTGTTTTCCATTACACAGTACAACAAAATTTGTTTTTTTCCCTCCCATGAAAAATTCCTATAGATTTTGAAAGTAGACTTAAAAAAATGATACCCGTGTCTTGGCGTTTTTTCAGATCACGTCATTTTTTTGTTTAAGTGCGATCCAATAAAATGTTATCCGCGGTTTTCGGCACATAATAAACAGCTTCGATAACAGCTTATAAGCTAATTAGCTGTTACAGCTAGACTATATTTGTAAGAAAAAATTATTTACTGAATAAATGGACAACCATTAAAATTAATTATTTATTTTAAAATTATTTTAATTCCGGTTTGACATCAACTTTGTTATTTTAAATAGAACACCTCATATATTTTTACATTTTTAAATTCTACATAAAATAAGGGTGGAATTTTTGGAATCTCAAAACATTGTTTAAAAGATTAATCTTAATTAAGTGGGAATTAAGTGGGAATTCCCACTGGGAAAGAAACCTTACAAAATATTGCTGCAATGTTCGCCGACTTTACAAATAAAATATTTCCTGTGCTACTTGCATTAACATTAATTAAATTTGAAACATTATTTAAAGATTCACATGGAAAGTTTTTACAATATTATATTTTTAACATTTAGTATAAAATGTTGCAATTATAATATTGCAGACATAACTTTTCAATGTTTTAATTAAAATATTAACACAAGTTTCAAATGAAAAATGTTTGCAACTTTACTTTAAATATATACAATAGAAACATTTATTTTGGATTGTTTGGGAATATTTTTGAAACATTGCATTGCAGTTATAATATTACATATGTCCTATATCCTATAGGGACGAACGAAAACTTTAGACTAAAAGACATATTGATGGTCTTGGGTTGTCTCGGGGGAAAGAAATATTACAAAGGATGACGTTGAAAAGCACATTATGTATGCCTTCCAGCATACATATGATAAGATGAAATCACAGGTTTGTACTTCAGCTGAACCCTAGTGTTATTTAAGTAAGTTTATTATAAATAAATGTTGCAGTTAAACTGCAGAAATAAAATAAAAATTTTATACTAGATGAATTATTAATTGACTTCATTCATTTCATTTTTTAATTTATAAGAGAAATAGAGTATAGGTACTTGTTTATTTTGTTATACTGTTTTTTATATTAGGTATATTCTAATAAAATAGTGTTTTATTCTACAGGAGAATTATATTTTTGTGTACTGTTTTATCCTTAATATAGAAAAATAATTTAATTTTTTTTTTCAAAGATGAAATTTGAAAACTAATTGCAATTATTGCTGGTTTTCAAAACTGGAGGTATTTTTATTTTACAAGAGGAATATTTTTTTATTTTGTTAGTGTTTTTCTATATATATATATACATATAATATATATTATTATAGTTTATTGTAGAATGTTTTTATTGTTTTTCTAATAAAATATAATTCAGTTAAATGTGCTTTCTTTGCATTAACATTGCAAAACTAAACAATCCTAACAACAATATGTTATTATTTGGGGATGTAATAATATTGTGTAGTGTAATGCAGTGCAGTACGGTATAGTGGGTTGTTTTGTGTATTGTGGAATTATTGCTTACCTTCAAAGTTTTGTAATTTGATTTCAACCTGCCCTTGTCAAAAAAACTCCCAAATTTTGAGTTTTTACACTCAAGTTCAGTGTCCAAAGAAACACTTAATTGAGTATAATTTCGTACGCTCAATTTGAGGGTACTCTCAACTTAAGAGTACTCTCACTTTGGGTGTTATACTCTATTTAGGTGTAACACTTAATTTAAGTGTAACACTTAATTTGAGTATAACACTCAAATATATCTAAACTCTCAAAATTAAAGCCACATCCAAATTGTCATCACTGCCTGCGCGAAAAATGATTGTATCTCTTGCTTTTCCCTTTTTCGGGCCTTGGTAATTCGTTCCACTAGTATAACGCCTTTGTTCCACTGGGAGAACGATTAACCAAGGCCTAGAAGAGAAAGAGAAAAGCAAGAGATACAATCATTTTTCGCAGGGAGTTATGACGTCACTGTACTCTTTACTAATAGTTTTACCTCTACAGTATACCAGAAGTTCCTACCTTTAAATAATCAATAGGAGATTGTAAAAGAAAGAAACTATCTAGTATAAAAGTATACTTTAATAGTTTCTTTCACACGTTAACTCAGAAACTCTCCCATTATAATAAAAATATAGTATACTGAACCGTTGAGGGTGCACGCTCAAATTTCAGAGAACACTGAACAGTTGAGTATAAACACTTAAGTTTCAGAGTACACCCAGAATAGTTGAGTATAAACACTCAAGTTTGAAGGTTAATACTGAATTGTTAAGTGTATACACTCATATATGATATATTTGAGAGTTAACACCCAAGTTTGAGGGTTAACACTGGATCGTTAAGTGTATACACTTAAATTTGAGAGTTAACACTGGATTATTAAGTGTATATACTCAAATTTGAGTTTAAACACTTAAATTTGGGAGTAAACACTGAATTTTGGGTGTAAACCTCATCATGATGATGAGGTTGAAATCAAATTACAAAACTTTGAAGGTAAGCAATAATTCCACAATACACAAAACAACCCACTATACCGTACTGCACTGCATTACACTGCACAATATTATTACACCCCCAAATAATGCAACTATACGCCACAATTACGTGACCAGTTTAGTTCACTATTCGGTAACGAAGCGTCGTGACGAAACCGTGACAAATCATCGTGAAGAATCCGTGGCGTATTCTTAACTACATCGTGAAGATTTTTATTCATATTAATGTAACGTATTCGTCACAAAAACTATGCTTAAATTTAGCGCGGTTTGGCAACTGTTTTTATTTAAATACGTTACGATTTTTAAATAACGTCCAAGTCACGACTGACTGAAAACGTTTCGTTTACGTCAAGATTTCGTTACGTTGTGCTACCTGGGATTGATAAGTTTTGGGCAATGTTTCATCCGAAATATTACATTAAGATGATTTTTGCAATGTTACTTTATAAAAACAATATAAACATTTAATTTGCAAGATTTTTGGAACATTGCAATTATAATATTATATTGATAAGTTTTTGGCAATGTTTCATCCGAAATAATACATTAATATGATTTTTGCAATGTTACTTTATATAAACAATATAAACATTTAATTTGCAAGATTTTTGAAACATTGCAATTATAATATTATAATATTATGTATTATGTATTATGTATACATTGATAAGTTTTGGGCAATATTTCATCCGAAATATTACATTAAGATGATTTTTGAAACATTGCAATTATAATATTACATTGATAAGTTTTGGGCAATGTTTCATCCTAAATATTAATTATAATTATAAGATGATTTTTGAAATGTTGCTTTATACAGGGTGTTTCATAATATATGCGCAGGACTTCAGGATGTGATAGCTCATCCAAAAAGATGAAAAAAGTCGCTATTAACTTACCCTCTAAAATGCACAATTTTCGAGATACAGGGTGTTGAAATTTTAGAAAAATTTTTTTTCGAATATCTCCGGAACCGTTTATCGTACAAAAAACAGCTTTTGTAAGCATTTTCTACTCAAAATAAGCTATGTTTTGTGCCAGTAAAATTTTTTTTTTCCTCATAATTGGTGGAGATTTTGAAGGGGTAGCGGGTGTTTTTCTCCTCAACTTCTACGCGCCTGAAAAATGTACGGTTTTGAGAGGCCTATTCGAACCGCCAATGTTTTCTACACAAAAAAGGTACTCTTGGTCATAAGCTCTAAAGTTGACCGTTTTCGAGAAAAATCAACTTTTATGTTTAAAAACATGGTCAATTTAAAAAAAAATAATTTTTTTTACTAATTAAACAAAATTTATTTTAACGTTAGAACAAGTAACAAAACCAAACCATAATTGCAAAATAAAAAATGATTCAAAAGTTGTCTTTGCTAAATTCTCCAAACCGTAAAGGTAACGCATTTCGAACATTTCAGCATTTGTGTAAAAAATCATTTTTTATTTTTTTTTTTAATTTTGCAATTATCGTTTGGTTTTGTTACTTTTTCTAACGTTAAAATAAATTTTGTTTAATTAGTAATAAAAAAAATTTTTTCAAAAAATATACCATGTTTTTAAACATAAAAGTTGATTTTTCTCGAAAACGGTCAACTTTAGAGCTTATGACCAAGAGTACCTTTTTTGTGTAGAAAACATTGGCGGTTTTTTTTTAATTTTGCAATTATCGTTTGGTTTTGTAACTTTTTCTAACGTTAAAATAAATTTTGTTTAATTAGTAATAAAAAAAAATTTTTCAAAAAATATACCATGTTTTTAAACATAAAAGTTGATTTTTCTCGAAAACGGTCAACTTTAGAGCTTATGACCAAGAGTACCTTTTTTGTGTAGAAAACATTGGCGGTTCGAATGGGCCTCAAAACCGTACTTTTTTCAGGGGCGTTGAAGTTGAGGAGAAAAACACCCGCTACCCCTTCAAAATCTCCACCAATTATGAGTAAAAAAAAATTTTTTTGGCACAAAACATAGCTTATTATGAGTAGAAAATGCTTACAAAAGCTGTTTTTTGTACGACAAACGGTTCCAGAGATAATCGAAAAAAACGATTTATTTTCTAAAATTTCAACACCCTGTATCTCGAAAATTGTGCATTTTAGAGGGTAAGTTAATAGCGACTTTTTTCATCTTTTTGGATGAGCTATCACATCCTGAAGTCCTGCGCATATATTATGAAACACCCTGTATAAACAACATAAACATTTAATTTGCAAGACTTTTGGAATATTGTAACTAAACTGCGCACCACTCAATGTGTCGCGACCAAAAAATTCGTTCTTTTTCAAAACGACATAACTTTTTTGTTTCTTGAACGATTTAATTTTGGTTTGTGATGTCTGCTAGCCTCATCCTCTGGCAATTTATGCTATAGATATGAAGCTCACGGTTGATCAAGTAAACTTCCTACAGGGTGAT